ATTTGCTTTCAAGGGTTGGTACCTGTGGCTCTTTAGCCCTGATATTGATATTGGATTGACTATCATTCAACAGCCAGTACTAATGGGCTGTTGACAATCTGGTAGCTTACTCTATTTAGGAAATAAAGGCAGGTATTTCCTAGAAAACCTCATCTGCCAAGAGCCATCTGTTTTCCCACAGACCAACGCAGTGTCAAGTCGGACCATTTACTATACTTGATAATTCAAGGCTAGTAGATGTTACCTTTTTTGGGTTTTGAAATCCCTCCAGACTCTGATAAACATGATGGACCCTGCTCTAAGAATAATGTAAAGTAGTACATACCACCAAATGTTGTATATAATTTCCATATATATCCAAGGGTCAATAGAACTCTTCAAGCTCATTCATGGACCTTGGGTTAAGAATCTCTGCTCTAGGCTCTCCCTGCTCTGACATGACTTCAGTGCTACATGCAGAGTGGTGACCCCAGCACTGGTCCAGGGCCTCCCCAGGAAGGGAGTCATGGAAACAGGACCAAGATGGGAGGAGGAGATCTCTGTGAGTAGGACAGAGGAGGCTGGACAGAAGAAAAGGAAGAGCAAGAGCAATGCAGGTGGAGAAGGGAGTGGAAACACTGAAGAAAAGCAAAGAGCAAGGGCTAAGTGAACAGCCGCAAGAGAAAGACAAGAATCCTCGGGCAGAGGAAGAGATGCCGTCAAGTGCCTCAGGTGCTGTCTTTGGTCACTAACTCTGGTTCCGAGACTCTTGGGCAGAGGAGAATATCTTTTCCCACATAAGTAGAAGGGTTACAGAAACCTAGAGGCCAATTCAAGTAATCTTGTACAAGTAATCTTGTAATCATCAAGATACATAGACGACTGTCTGCTTACATGATATAAGACCGTGTGGTAGTGAATTTATTTCTGTGACCGTCCCAAGGACCATTTTGTTTGCTGGGGAATGGACCAGGATCCTTGCACATTCCCCTTGCACCCTGCCCTTTGTCCCTTAATAAAGATGAGAGTATGTACTGGTGGGCTTCTAATGAAGTCTGAAAGAGAGTACTAAGAATAAACTAAACCTTGCCGTAGAGGAAAACGTGGTGAGGTGACTTTGTAGACAGTAGGATAAGGTCAAATTGAGAAATATTTTGCTAGTTGTTTAAATTTTGATAATAACTCATGTCCTTAAACATGATTCAGTGGACTTCAGTTATCATTCTGAAGAAATACAGAGTGATTACTAGGATCATTCATTCTCTCAACATATATTTGCTGGGTACCTATTAGAATTAAAGCACTGCTGAGATATGGAAGGTACAAAAAAGCGTTATCCATCTCTTGTCCCAACCCATAAGGTATGGAAATTGCATGTGTAAGTTTCTCCTCAGAGTCTACTTTTAGAAGTTCCTTAATGCAAATAGAAGATTCTAATTTTTATTCATTTTCACTACTGTAGTTTCTCCTCTGAACTTCCTTTTTTCTCTGTAATGTATTAAAAATAAGAGAATTTTTTAATCTATACTTTGTCAAGTAATTCAACTTCTAGGAACCTTGCTTTCTTCATCTGCAAAAGGGAGATTATAACGTCACAAGGAAGTTGTTAAAATTAAGTGTCAAATTGTTAAAATTAAGTGGTAATGTACACATAGCGCCTGAAACATCCCAGCACTCAGCAAATTGTATCTATAGCTTTAATTATTATTCTGGTATGCCACTGCATTCTTCTCACCCAGGCTTGAAAACATTTTCTTTATCCTTTCCACCTACATAAAATCAATTATCAAGTTCTATTGGCTCTCCCTTGAAAATGTTCCTCATAATTGTCCTCTCCTTTTCATTTCTACAGCCACCTTCCTAATTCAACTTTCTTATTTCACCTTCTCAGAAGATTTTGTGTTAGGTAACCAAAAGAATTCTTCCTGAAACATGCTTTTCTGTTCCCCTGTTTAAAACAAACAACTTCCCTTAGTGGCTTCCAAGTGTATACCAAATAAAGCTCAAATAACCGCAGTTCCAAGTCCTCACATCATACCTTTCTAATATCATTTCCACCGTGCCTGAAGACATAACCCTGTTCTTCTGTCAAATTCATTATCCCTGTCTTCCAGATCCAATTCATCCTTCAAAGCTACCTGAAAGTTTCCTTCTAATCCCTCTAACTGGGTTGCCTTCTTTTCTCATCCCTTATAAAATGTCTAAGGCAGGGTATCCTTTCTATAGCATTTATTATATATTGAAATATATTTTGGCAACACTATAGGGTAATAATTAAAAGCATAGGTATTGAGACTGGACAATTGTGGTGATTAAATTAATAAGGAACCTTGAATATGATTCCTAATCATTATAAAGCACTTGATAAATACTAACTTTCATTAGCATTATTGTTGTGTAGATTTCATATTTCCCTAGTAAAATGTTCCTAGATGACAATGACCTTCTGGTATTGATGATACCTTTTCCAAAACTTTGCCTGGTGAACTTCTATTAGATTTTCAGTTAGAATTACTTACAAACCGATTTCTTATAGGCTCTGGATTAACTTCTTTTCATGCTTTAAGATGTGATAATTTCACCATTGTAAGAAATATGCTAGCTCACACTCACTGTGATTGCTATGTGATTTTTGAGAATATAGTTTTGCGCTAACTTTTTTATTAGTGTTGATTAAAAAAAACAGTTAACAAGTCTGGGTATATATGTGAATAAAATAGTTGTTAGTAAGTAATATGGCATTGTAATTACAATTAATACTCTCTGTTGCATACCCTCATGCCAATAAGTGTCAAGTAGCTTGTTAAGAACTGCTTTGAAATCCTTTTGTAAGTGCCCCTTATTTTGCCAAACTTGCTTTTTGTAATGATTGGGAAGGATGTTGGACTGATGAAAAGAATAATATTTTATTTGAGGATCTCAAAGCACCTGGCAAGGCTACCTTCCATTTTGCAGAATGGGTACACTGAAGTTTGCAGTGGTTCAGTGCATTTCCTTTGGCTATACTGCCATTCAGGAAGAGGGCTGGCTACACAGTAGAATATTTTATATTCCAAAATATTCTGTGTTTTTCCTAAGTAATTCATCCATTTTTTTCTTATGGCTATTGTGACTGTGTTCCCGGTCAGATTTTCCCTCTCACCTCTCCTGATGAAAGGATTGGAGGCAAACTTATGGTCTACCTGGAGCGATAGTATTGGACGTTAGCTATGAGTTTCTTATTAGCTTTTTTCCTTAATCCTATATATTTATTTTTTCATTTTTTTCTTACCCACTTTCAATTTGAGTCATCTTGTTTGAATATGTCATTTTAAGCTCCTTACGTCTCTCTTCAAACAAGATGGGCAGTAAGTATATAACCAATTTCTACACTATCACACATTTCTGGAGGATGGAGGCAGGCTGTACAGCTGAAACACCAGGCTTTTGGAGAGAGCCACACTGGAGTTTGAATTCCAGCTTTGATACTTAATAACTGCAGGACCTTGGACAAGTTATTTAACCTTTCTGAGTTCCCTCTCTGTAAAATGGAAATAATAATCCACAACTCACAGAGATGTCTTGAGGATTAAATAAAGCAACTCATGTAAATTACTGGGTGCATAGTAGGCATTCAATAAATGTCGGTTCTCTTCTTATCTCAGTTAATAATGCTTATTAGACTATATTAAAAACTAGAACCAGACTGTGATAATGCTTTTCTTTATTATGTATTTAAGCCAAATAACTAATTTCCCCCAAGGGGAAGGGAGAGATATGTTGAATTAGTTTCATTTGGTGAACTTACTTATTAATCTTTTTTTCAGCATTATTTAGTTTCATAGTCCATAATTTAGTTCTCATGCAACAAAAACGTCACAATTCGATATTCCTTTTAACTCTACTGTGATCGTTTTTTTTTAAATCTATTATTACATTTGCCGTTTATTGGATATCATAATTAATTATATTAACAGCTCGATTGTGTTTCATAACTACTTTGCTGACATACTTTTGCTCTCAACAGCTTCCCTGAGGTCGAAGGATTTCAAGTTTTAAATGGCAATGTTACAGCAAAAGAAAAACAGGGGTTGGGGGAGACCCACACCGTCTGTGTTCTTTCGTGTTAATTTCATACGTTTGCGTATAAGTGGAGCCTCGTTTTCCTCAAGGACGGAACCCAAGCGAGGCAGGCAAGAAAAGTGGGCGCTGACTAGTTGAGCTAGAACTACGGTATCATTGCTCCTTTAAGGACTGGAGACTTGGTATTAGCTCGGCCTCCTTCCCGGCCCACCTCTGAACTCTGATTGACAGGGCGCCGGGCGAGGAGGAGCTGAAGGAGGCCGAGGAGGAGGTGCAGGGAGGAAAGTAGGGGAAGGAGGGGCCGTCTTTTCTCTGATGACCAATCAGGGAAGGGGGCGGGGCTCCAGGAGCCCTCCTCCCTCCTTCCCTCCCCCGCCTCCTGGCTTCCCCGCCCCCTCCTCCCTTTCCTCTGCCTCCTCCCCTCTCCTCCTTCTCGTCCTCCTCCTCCTTCTCCTCCTCCTCCTCTCAGGCTGTGGTTTTTCTGTATATGTTTCTAGAGTCCTGAGCCTGAGCTAAACAAAAGCAGGAGGCTGACGGGGCTGCTGGAGTTTGCAGAGACACGGAGGAGGAGAGAGCCTGTGCTCTGCCTGCCGCCGCGGCTGGGGGAGATCTGGCTTTTGCAACAGCCCACCCCCTTTGAGATCACTCTGGCCCGGAGTGGGGGTGGGGGGCAGCGGGGGGTGGGGGGGAAAGTTTGCATTGCAATCCCCCTGCCTTCCTCTCCTTTCTCCCGATCAATGCATATTTGCAAAAGGATTAAGCCACAGATTTAAGCGCCGGGAGCCCATTTCTGCCTTGCAAAGGAGACCGGACTGAAAAACCAAAAGCCAGCTCTGATTTCTTTTCGTCAAGTGGGAAGGTGGTTTATTTTTCTTGCTTTTTGGAGTCAACACCCTTCCCCACCAGCCCTTATCCCCACCCTCACCCCGCAACCCCTTCACGCCCCCCTCCCCCTCCCCACTCCCCATCCTCCTACCATCCTCTAAAGAGGCAAAGGGATTTTTTTTTCTTTTGGTCTTCTTTTTTCCCCCCTTCCCTGTTTATCCTGAAAAGGATTTGAAGACAGCTTGAAGGATAAAAAGCCTTGGTGCTTCCCAGGAGCCGAGCCGAGGAGCAGAAGAGGAAGAGCCGGGGGCTGCCGTTGCCTTTGGAGATGGACGAGCAGCCCAGGCTGATGCATTCCCATGCTGGGGTCGGGATGGCCGGACACCCCGGCCTGTCCCAGCACTTGCAGGATGGGGCCGCAGGGACCGAGGGGGAGGGCGGGAGGAAGCAGGACATTGGAGACATTTTACAGCAAATTATGACCATCACAGACCAGAGTTTGGATGAGGCGCAGGCCAGGTGAGATGGAGGCTTTTCTTTTCCTTTCTTGGGGTTTTTTGTTTTTCTCCCTCTCGCTGGGGGAAACAATGGGAACCGAATCACCACAGCGCTTTCTTTTTAAATGTTATTTCTTTTCCCATTTTGAGGAGCAACTATATGGCGGAGGAGTAAAATTTGAAGGAGCGTTGTTATCGAAAGTGTAATCGCCCATGCCGAGATGTGGCTGTGTGTATATGTATACATATTGTGTGTGTGTGTTGTGTGTGTGTGAGTGAATATAGAGGTATTCATATACATCCACACAAACACTCAGGCACGACGAAAATACTGCCAACTGATCCAAAAGCGGCCCTCGGCACTTTTTTTACTGCTTTAAAAAAGTATCAGAGAGAGCAGAATTGTCAAGTTTTGAACAGCATTCCATGCCTTCTTGTAGAGGGACTCCGTACCATTACAAAATAAAATGTCCCAAGAACACTTTATTTGCAAATTTAGTTGACTCCTAACCTAATTCAGAGACATTTGATTTTCTTTCTTGACGTATCCCTCCAAAATTAATTTTTATCTTTCCCCTTTCTCCCCCTCCTTTAAAAAAAAAAAAAAAAGCAGGGTAATTCTTTGTCAGTAGTTGTCAGCTATTCAGAAAATATTTTGCGTTCATTTAATTCTGTTTCAAAAAAGCTAATGGAAAGAAAGAAAAAGTAATTTTGCTTTTAGACATATTTGTCAGTTTTGAGAGACTCAGATATGTAGTTTAACTTGATTGTCTCTTAATTTGAGTCGGTTTACTAACCTTCCATGGTACAGAATGTATGGTCCTTTAAAAAGAGGTGGGGGGACAAAAATCAAGCATGCTCTTTTTCCCATGCTTCTTTCAGACCACTTAGAATGCAACTAAATAGAAATGAAGGGATGTGTGAATTTTATGTATTGCAATACTATAGGAGGTGAAGATCTTCATTAAGGAAACATAATGAAGAAGCTGTGTGGCTTCTCAACTTAATCCACTGCCAGGTGTATAGTTCTCCACTCTAGAATTTTACAGTAAATTGTCTTTCAGAATAAAACAGAGACTAAATGGCAACCCACTAACAGCTCGCCCAAGGCCAATCTCAAAAGGAAGAATTTTAAAAACCTAATGATCACATATGTCTATACAATTACCCAGCTTTGTTAAATCTCAGAAGTAGTTGGTTTTTTAAACATATATACACAATTCCTTTACCTCAAATGACTTAGTTCTATGGATAAGACATCATTATATATATTTTTGTCTAAGGAAATAGGAATTTGAGGTGAGAAAATAAGGAGTTAAAAGCATGAATGTTATGAGTTACACACACTCTTATTTTATCTGCAAGCACATGCAACATGTAAACTCAAAAGTACTGAGGTTTACGGGGGGGGGTTGAAAACTTGGAAATGTTCAAAGACTGGAACTATTCTAAATTTTTTAAAATAGGGGAAAGTTTTCAAAAATTAATTGGTGCTCTTTTTGAATTTTATTATCTGAAGAAAAGCTAGTAGGTATGGTAAGTGGAAGGTTTCCCACTGGTCATCTCTTTTTGAATTGGAACAAATTTCTCCATTACATTGTTCCAGAAAAATAAACTCAGGCATACCAATAAACTGGTTTAATAACAAGTTTGTGAAGTGGAAGGGGCCGGTAAGACTGGAGGCTCACCACTTTCCTGATGTTTAGTCTCGCTGCTGTTTTGTAAAACTGAGGACAACTGTGGCTTGGCGGATTCTCCCTTCTAATGGCCTAGATGCTGAGAGAGATCAGACACAATTTTGGGCTAGGGAAATTTTCTGTTCTCTCTCTATAATCTCATTGATGTGCTGTGGAAATGCAATATTTCTGAAGAAATATTGTGGGCTTGCGTGTTTTTTTTCTGTTTTTGTTTTTTTTTTGCATTGGGGCCTATATATCAGAATACAATTATTGAAAACTATTTTAAAAGTCCCCAAAAGAAGGCTTTGATACATCAAAGTCTTTTCCACCTTTATTCTCACCCCACAGGAGAACTAAATCACCGCTAAGCTTTCCTTTTGGTTAAACAATGTAACTCTACTTAGCAAATACTGTATCTGTTTTTCCTTTCCTCAGTCACACCTTCATAATGTACATTTATTATTTACAAAGTAAATCATTAGTATTTTAGACTGGGTGTATGTTTATTTTGATACTCTTGAATTTTGAGCTTGTTACTCCTCTGCTGTACAGTATATGGAACATGCTTCTGGTTTCTGTTCTTCATGAGGATGTGTCTATTTTTTAACTTTCAAAGGGATTAAAAAAGAATTGCATGTGTCTTGGGTGCCAGAGGTTTCCATTTATCTTTACACATTAATTTTAGTTAGTAAACAGAGTTCTCTTAACTAATAGCTGATATGATCAGTATTTTGTTTCCAAAACAATATCCTTCTGCTAAGTGCTTCCATAGTAAAATAAAGGGAAAGGTATTGTTTTGTTTCTCAAGTGCGTTCTGAATTTAGACACACACACAACAACCAGGTAAATCACTAATCTAAAAGGCAGAATTGTATTTATTTTTTCCCCAATGGGTGCAAGGTCCTAATTGTAAATAATTGAATTTCAACACCTGCAAATAAGCTGTGTGTGCACAAGAGGCATAATGTGAACACAGAGAAATGAATTTATTCCCCATATGGGTATGTTTGCCCCCTGGCAATGCATTTCCATACTCTTTAACTTGGGGACTGAAATTTTATAAATTGACAGTTCTACTCAGAAGACCTTTTCAAGCATCTTGTGTTTATGAGAATACAGGGGCATCTGCGGAATGAATTTGAACACATGGATGAATTAAATTTGAAAACACACATACAGACCGAGAGGCAGACAGCTCCTAGGCTGTGGTGGTTGCATAGATTATACAAAACTGTTAACCCATGCATTTGGCTTTGCTATATTTATTGCCCTGGATAGAATTATTGGTTTAAGAATTTCAATTTGATTAAACTACTTTAAAAAAAAACAACTGTGCCTAAATGGGCATAATTTAGGTTAGTTCTGTTCTGTAGTTAAACCCCTACTCTCTCCCTGCTAATTAACATTATTTCTTTTTCTATGGCGGGACTCTGTATACCAAGTCATAAAACAATTGAAGCATGCCACAGAGTTATGCTTGGTGTATAATTTTGGCTAAATGTTCACATTTCTTCCCCCTGTGCGTTATCAGCAGTTTGATCTTGAAAGTCCCCCTAAGCTGTTATGTTGTTGTTTCTTTCTTGCAGAAAACATGCTTTAAACTGCCACAGAATGAAGCCTGCCTTGTTTAATGTGTTGTGTGAAATCAAAGAAAAAACAGGTAGGAATGAGATTCCAACATTTAAGCATTTTCTTTGGCCAATTGACTCACTTAACTAGCAATCACGAACCCATTATTTAAATATTAAAATTTCAGAATAGAAGCCCTCTCAAGATGGATCACATATTCCAATAGGAAGTCCTTGTAGCCCTGCTACCTGTAAAAGAGAGCACCAAGTTTCTTTGACAGTTATTGTCAAGCATTACTGGTTTATTTTCCTTAACTCTATTCCCGGCCTTTTTGAAATTGGGGCTAAAATATAGGTTCTGAAGGGAAATTTGTAGAATGATGTGCCTTTGGGGGAAAACAATATGAAAGTTGAAGTCCGTTTCCTGAAGGAATATATTTTGGCCCACATTTAAAACTTTTTTTTTTTTTGAATGTGGGCATGGGGGCTAAACTGTTTAAAGTTTCTTTTTTTCTTGCAATCACACGAAGCAGCTGACTAGCGGTTCTCAGCAGAGTGTTGTCAAATACCTTTGTGAACGCGCCATACATCAGGTTATCGGTATTTGAGTGCCCTGTGATTTTATGGCAGGGAGAATCGTTGGATTCAGGAGAATATAATGCCGTGAGATCACTCATTCTGTTGTTTTCCTACTTTCTAGACCTCATATCATGGACCAACACACTTATAACACATCCCAGGAGGGCATTTAAATTTTAAAGCAACAATTAAAAAATAGCAGTCATCAATCAGAGGTGTTCTTAAACAACAGATGCTCTGGGAAGGACATTTAGCAACATCCTCTGGTTTGTTTATTTTAATCCTTAATTTTCCAAAGTGGGTGAATCTCTTGTAAAAACGAAGAGTTGAGAAGGCAATCTGAAACCAGGGCATATAAAGATGAGGAACGAGGGGTGGTTATATAAAACGGGAGCTTCTGCTGGCCTCTGACTTGCTCGCTCGCTTGAGAGCAGTGCGAAGTACCTGCCATCCTATTTATTTATTTATTTTTTACAACAATGAGTGTAACAGTCAATAATTCATATCTAAACCATATAAGCAAGGGCATGACATGAATGAAAGTGACAATAAATATGATTGCATGCCTGGTTGATATACATTGATAGTTACACATAAAAAAAGAGGAGGGGGGAGAGGCACGCAGGGTGATTTTCTTTTTGAGAGCTCTCTGTGTTTCTTTAAAAAAAAAAAAAATAGTTTCAAGATGTGGCCATTGATCGAATATGTAATTATTTGGGTCTTGAAATGTATGTAAAATTAGTAAGCAGCTCCTTTGTTGAATGTTATTTGTGTTGGGCATGACATTCTAGACAAAGCACCTGGGTAGGGATGTTCAGACCTTTAAGTCTTCCAGGTTGTCTTACCAAAGCCGAACCTTATTGCAAAGCTGTTAATTGCGTTATTTTAGCTGTGAGACACCTTTTCAGAGATTTATGGATTGTGCATACAAATATCAAATGAGCTTTTTCAGTTTGTCACACCTCTTAGTTTTTTTTTCTATTAGCCCAGAGCAGGAAACCTTAAAGTGTGTATATATTTTTCTCTCTTCTCTTCTTTTTTCTTCCTTCCCATTTTCTTTTTTGATCTCGGATGCTTATTTACTTTGAATATTTGATTTGTTAAAATTTGTTTCTAATCACCTATGCATTCCTGCTGATCTTGATTCATAAAATGTAGAATCAGGATATAAAGGCTTATTTGATAATCCAGGTTCAAGAGACTATTTTTGAAGACAATCAGATTTTTACTGAAAGGAAGCCCATCAGAGCACTTAAATGTATATTGTGGCCAAAGTGTTTAATTCTAGTCTTCTAATTAAAACCTACTGAGGCAGTAGATCAAAGTAGGTGGGTGTGAATGGAGATCCGGTTCCGGTGTGGGTTAAAGAGTTTGCTCCTTATTCATGTTGGCTAAACTATGGTGATAGGAAGCAGTCATATTGGTCAAAATAATACTCTGAAGGTGAAGTTTATTGTTGGATTATATATTATGGTTTTTACATTTTCTGTCATTTAATAACATTAATGTTTGGAAATTTTTAAAAATCTAAGTTAAGGTTTTGTGTGTTGTCTCTAGTATAATATATTAAAAAAAATAGTTTATTGAGCACTATACATTGAAATGATAAGGATCACTGCCCCGGTGTTAAGGGGGAAATATACACACATACATACAGAGTTTTGGAATGAGAGGGCACGAATGGGTGAAAGTAAAAAAAAAAAAAATAGAAGAAGAAAAAAGGCTTTCCTCCTTATTCCTCAACTTGTATGTTGGAAGGATTAAGGGAAGGAAGAAACCTCTCCTGGAATGTTGAGTGTTCTGTGTTAAAGGTAGGAGACAACTGTGGTGTGTTGAAAAGAACCCTTTGATTCTAAAGCACGATTACTCAGGCTCTGCCTGACCCTCATTCTACGCGCCAGCATACCTTCCATGCGGTTGATGTGTCGGAGACACATCAAGTATCTGTAAAGTTGCAGGAGCTTTTTTTTTTCCTCCCTCTTGATACAGTGCTAGTGAAAAGATCTCTTGGATGCTCAGTTCACATACATTCCTTCATTGTTTTGGGACTTTTCCTACTGTTATGTTGAAGCCCACTAACATTTAATTAAGTATTTCTTAGCTTCCATCTGAAGCCCTATTGAGCTTACTTGATGTAGGATAGACTTCGTTTGCTTGTTTGTTTGTCTTCTCCTAGGAAGTTCACAAGTGTGGCTCACCTAGGTCTTGAGAAGGAAGGCAGGACTCTGAGAGGAGCCTGCTAATTGCATTCCTTTGCTGCTTTGGCTTTTTTGTTTTTGTTAATGACTTTAGTTGGAAAACTCAGAAATAAGTAGGAAAACTAGTTGATTGTGTTACCAACCTTTGGAACTTTGAAGACGCACACTCGCGCAACACCCAAAGTAGGCAGCACCATCTAAATTACAGTTGATTGATGGGTATTTAAGTCAGAAATTACTGTGGGGATATTTAAAAAAAAAAGAACCTATGTGTCTTCTTGCTTCAGGGTGTGGGTAAGTTTTTATTTTGATACTTTTTTGCTTTTTTAAATAAATGCTAAGAAAAAAGAATGCCTGCAGAATGCTTGGCCGGCAACTGTCAAACAACAGTAAAAAAGAACCCTGTCGAAACCTACAGCAGTGTATATTTCAGAAGTGGCTTTTATTTGCTTGCTCCTTCTGGGAACATAGAGATTTAATATAGAGTTTTGGACCATTTAATATCTCATTTTCTTTTTCCTTTTTTTTTTTTTATGAACCATTCCTTGTCTTCTAACTTATTAGCAATAGTCTCAGTTTTACCTATGTGTATATGTGGTGATATTGGGGTTGATGAGATGTAAGAGAAGGAAAAAAAGTCAAACATATTGCATTTCTTAGAAACACCTTGAATATATTTTTAAATGTTTCTTGATTTTTTTTTTTTTTTTTACTTCTGTGTCAAAATTCATGCAGGTTTAAAAATTAGGAAAACACACAAAAAATTGGGTGCCATTTACTAAGGAGAATATTTATAGATAGCAATGAGTAGCTGTAATTGTTGTGAATAGTTTTTAATTTTAGAACAAAATAGCTATCTATGGCACTTTTTAGCCCATTTTCCTCTGTGTATTTGCACTGAAGTTAAATCAAATCACTGAAGGACGTTAAAAAAATTATTTTTTTGCTTCCTTAACATCCTTTCGTTCTCTCTTTCTTTTTTCTCTGTGTTTAATTAACACCCCCATTACAGAACTGTAGTTTTTTTTTTTTAAATCTACTACTGTATTTCTACTTTTGATACCCTCCCTTATTATTCTCGCCTGCCACTTCTTTTTAATATAGCAGTCACATTCTGGGACTTCTACTCCTCTCCTCTTGAAGCATTAGAGAGTAATTTGTGTGTGTGTGTGTGTGGGTGCACGTGTGCACATGTATCTGTGTGTTTGTATATATAGGTGCAGGGGATACTATGGAAGGAAGCTGTGTATTGCAGGTAAATAATTCTGATGGTCTTAGGCCTTGAGCAGAGAACAGGAGTGAAATAACTTTAGACCGTTTAGAGCTGCCTCTGATCAGATTCCTTTTGGGGTTGAAGTGGCAGGAGTGACTTTTCATAGAGTTCATCTATCGCAGGCAAATGCAAAAACTTTTTCTTGCTGATGAGAGGATTCAAGTAGTTTGTCTTTCTTTTTTTGTGGAAGGGGCTGAGAGAGAGAAAAGGGGTGCAGATAAAGGGAAGTTACAAGCCAGTTGAACTTGAACACGACCTTTCAGGCACAGCAGCGTGTTAAGGCAGAAGTAATGTGATTAGACTATATACTATTTATTATAATCTGGATCTAAGCTATAGTCCTACAATGATATGACTCTGTGAGAGACACGATATGAACTTACGATGTGTCCCTTGTCTCCAGTCACTTTTGTGTAATCCATTTTTAGAAGTGGATTTAGACAAATTCTGGCATTTGAGAGGTGGGGAGGAGGGTGCAAAGAGCTATTGGGTTATTCCTACCAGAACAGGATTTTTGGAAATTTGGTGTCATTTCTTCTAGCAATAGGGGTGTCTGTGATGATTGGAAATGAGAGCGATTTCGGTTAAACTGAGGAAATTGGAAGAGGATTTGTGAGAAGGGAAACGCAGAGAGAGACTTGTGACCCAGGAACTGTGGGGTGTCGGGAGCCAGGAGGAGGGAGGGTGTGCATTCTCAGTTGGGCGGCTGGCTGTGATCCGGGCCGGCCGAGGGGGGACATTGCCTGCTTGTGTAGCTAGCTCTCTGCTGGGGACAGGCCTTTTCACATGCTTTTGCCCCTGCGTTCTACAGACATCCATGAACTTTTGGTTGTTGTTGTTGGCGAAATTACAAAAATACCTCTAAACAAGCAACAAACCAAAACACAGATATTGAACATATTTAGAGAAGAAAGCATTTTAATTTTAATTTAAAGCATAACCCTGGCTTCTTTTGAGACACAGTTTGCATGCGTGCCTTAGGAAAACTTAGCATTATTTTGCTTTCAAGCCTCTTTTAGATGTCTACTGTTACATTCTGAAC